CTGTTTTTGAAGTTTTTCTGTTGTAATATAGCCACCCGCAGGTCTGTCATTGAATGACCAGACAGGTTAAAGTTAAAGATATTCTGAAAGTTGTTTCAGGTATAGTGAAGCTGCATTGGCTTGTGGCAAAGAACTATGGCTCTGCAATGTCTGTCTTAGTACACAGGACAAATAGTGGAAATGTTTCACAGGTTTCTCTTACCCATCTGGTGTCTCCCAAACATAATCTCCAACACATTCTTTCTGTGATCCTCTGAAAACCAGACTACACACATTGTGGTATGGTCATCAAATGCCTCTTGCTCTCGCTCTTGTATTGTCTGTACTACTCTGGCCTGCATCATCAAACTGCTACCTGAGGTGCTGGAGCCTGCGCTACTGGTACCTACATCCAGAGGCTTGTCATCACATTGTACTGAAAATGGAAAGGTGCATTTGCAGGCACATCCTTGTGACAAGTTTGCCCATCTTTTAAGGGTCCCTGAGCAAAGACATTAATTCGTATGCTACTGAATTGCACAGCTTGTGGTCTGTATCGTCCTGCATGATTAAGGGTTCTCCTAGTCACACAGGTGACTGGCTACTGGGTTGGGTTGTACAAGGCTGGCATGACATAAATTCCAAGCTCAGAAGGGACCACTTTGATCATCTAGTCTGACCTCTGTATAACACGCTGGCCATAGAGTTGCCCCCAAATAATTCCTAGAAATTCTTTTGGAAAAGACAACTTTGACATGATCTTTCAAACAAGGCTCCTGACCCCTTTTTTGACTGTCTACAGGCCCACAGGGAGAAAGGAAGAGAGCTCTGGGGGAGTCAGGAGGTAGAATGGGCATACAGAAAGAGCTGGACAAGATTCATTTCAAAGCTTAGCGGTGTCCTCTGTGGATATGGAGTTGGTGCCTCAGCTGATTACATATAAATAGTGATGGCATTACAAGGCTCCTAGCTGGTTAAATCCCTTCTGTGACTGTGGGTTTGTCTACCCTTACATTTTATAGCACTCTAACTTGCTGGGTCGGGGGTGAAAAATCACCCCCCTGAGTGCAGCAAGTCTGAGCGCTTTAAAGCGCTAGTGTAGACAGGCTCAGAGCTCTGGGAGCCAATCCCCTCGTGGAGGTGGATTACCAAGAGTGTTGGGAGAGCTCTCTCCTAGCGCTCGCACGCGACCATGCTCGCATTTCAAAGCACTGCCACGGGAGCGCATTGAAGTGTCCAGTGTAGACATACTCTCACAGAATTGCATTGTAGGTCTCTGTCACCATCCAGGAAACTTCCACAAAGGTGGCACTTTGTCAGTGGTCATCAGTCTGGTCCATCCTCTTCTCTGACAGTAAGGAGAATCCTTACTGGCCCAAACATGATCTCTACAGAACCAGCTATTATGTAGCTGGATCTCTGGCAAAATGGTGGCTCAGAGCTATCTCTAGTGATGACCAGTGCCCCTTTAATGCTGTCTAGGCTATATACTGACGTGGATTGTTGTCTTGCTTTTTTTTCCCCTTTAGATCCTGGAAGTGAAGGAAGATGGGGTCTGACTGTTTGAAAGTCACCAAGTATTTCCTCTTCCTTTTCAACCTTCTCTTCTTTGTAAGTATTCTTGTCTCTGTGGGAGGGCTTGAGATGAGCAACTCTGAATTAAGGGGTGGGCAGAAAGGACTATATATAGCCTCAGATGTGGACCTTTAGACTTCAGACTAAGCTAAAATTTAGTATTGGTGCCCACTCGAAAACGTCATTGACCCTGATGCCCTTTGTGGCTTTGTGGCTTCCAGCTGTAGACACTCCCATCCCCTTCCCTGGCTGAAATAGACCGATTGCCCCATTCCACATATCCTGCCTGCTGTGTCTAGTGCCTACAGCCTCCTCTGTCAATGGAAAGGGGAAGGTGGGCCTACTTTGCTTCCCTGTAAATTTGCCATTATTGCATTCCTTTTTCTGCCACATCTGGAGCAGCAGCAACAGGGTTGCTACAGAGCGGTGAAGCCACAAAACCTGCGGAGTCCATTGCAATCTTCCTCTTCTAAATAGTCCAGGCAGGCTTCACAGAACCATCATAATTTCACTTCAAGTCCCAGTGGCTGGTTTTGATTTTGAAAAAGCTGAATCAGTCCCAAGTTTTCCATTTGAAGTGGAATTTTTGAGGGTCTTGGGTGCAGGCTTGCCTGTGGGATGAGGAGGCTTGGATTTTGGGAGGCGGGCCCAGTGTGAGCTGCTTCAGAATCCCTGATTAGTGCTGGCTCGCTTGGTTTGGGTGAGGATGGGAGGGTCTACTTCTGGCATATATTCACCTGAGTGTTTGGCCCCAACTTCTCCTCCTTCAATCACCGCTCTTCCCCACAAAACTCCTCTTATGTTTGTTTTAATGGCTGGGATACCTGTGGCCTTCAGGACTCTCCGCAGGCTGATCTAAATTGTAAAAGTCACGCTGGGATTGTTCTGACGCTCTCTCCAGGTGGTACCACTTGTAGTAGAAAAAGAGCCTGAGACGTATGTCTTGTATCAGAGGCCTGATGTGAGGCCTGAACTAAAGTATTGGTCAAAGCCTTGACCACTGCTTTAGTTCAGGCCTCTGATACAAGACTTCTGTCTCAGGCTCTCTTTCTACTACACCACTAGGGTAGGGAAGCCTCAGGGAGTCTTCTCTAGAAATGCTGTAGCAGTGCAGCCACACTACTCTCTTGCTTCAGTGTAGACACTCACTACAGTGATGGGAGGGATTCTCCCATTGCTCTAGTTAATCCACCTCCCTGAGAGGTGGTAGCTAGGTTGACAGAATAATTCTTCTGTTGATCTAGTGCTGTCTATGCTGGGGATTAGGTTGGCTTAACTATGTTGCTCGGGTGTAGATTCTTCATACCCCTGAGCATAAGCACCGACTTTCCAATGTGCTGGAGGGTGCTTGGCCCCTGCTCCACCCTATTCCACCCCCTTCCCTGAGCGTGCCATGTCCTCGCTCCTCCCTCCCAGGCTCCTGCATGCCATGAAACAGCAAATTGCCACGAGCGGGAGGGCAGGGCACTGAGCCACAGGTCCCGCTGGCGGGCAGAAAATCCTGGGTGCGTGCGGGGAGCTGATCGGGGAGCTGCCTGTGGGTGCTGAGCACCCACCATTTTGTGCTCCTGAGCAACATAGCTGGGTTGATCTAACTTTAGTGTAGACCTCGCCTCAGACTCCAGCTTTCCCCTATTCTTCTGTGATGGTTAAACTCTGCCTATCTCTCTCAACATTGCTGAATGTGTACAACAGAGAAGCCTGGTAAAATGAGCTTTGCTTTCCAAGCTTATCCTCTGACTGCGGCTTTACTCTTCTACCCCACACACTGTCATGCCTCGAGCTGTGCTATGCTGCAGCTTCCTGGAGTGCTGGCCTTGATGTTGCAACTGGGACACATCTGGATCTGGTTTCCTTCAGTTTGCTATGCTAGCTCTTTCCCTGCCATGTGTTTCTGTTGCTTCCCTCTTGGAGTAGCCAGGATTCCAATTAAAGACTGCCAGGGACCAAAGGTCATGGATGTTCTTAGCATACCCGAGAAGAGTCTTAAAGGGCCATCCGAGCTTTGAGGGGACTGGTTTTAGTCTAGGTTAGTGGGGGGACGGGGGGAAGTCCTACAGGATTGTATCTGGCTCTTCTGCCAATGCACACTTGTTCCCAGGCTTATCTGTAATTGCCCATCAGTTTTGAGGGGGTGGGTTAGGATTTTGTTGCTCCCTTACCTGCCCATAACAGAAGGTATTACCCGATTTACGGTGTGATACAACAAACTATCCTTTACAACCTCCTACTCCTCTGGGGATGGATGGGGTGAGCTGGGGTCCAGAGGGACCCTAAAGTTATTAAGAGATTTTGGGACTTTCAGCTACCTTTTTAGGCAGGTTCTGGTTTGCATTCAGCAAGAATAGCAACTTGGGGAGGGGACAGAACCCCCTGGATCATGGGGAGAGGTATGCTGGGACTATCATCCTGGTTCCAGGGATTGGGGCATTTCCTGTGTTCAGTGTAACTGTCTCAAAAAAGTGCGGGTAGGAAAATAGGGGATTAATGTGGCTTTCTTTTCTCCCCTCACTTATTTGTTTCAGGGTCTCTTTGTGGGGGTTAGGGGAGCTGTGGGGTAACCAAGTTGTGGGAGTCTTAGCCGTAAATAACCTGCCCTCCAGAAGCCCTGCTTACCATTCCTGTGGAGATGGTTCTCTCCAACAGGAGAGGGAGGAGAGGCTGCATGTGTCTTACAATAGCCTGCAGTGCTGTCTTGCCCTATAATAACCCTGCTTATCTTGCTGCTGCTGCTGAATGTTTGAGTGGGGATTGCAAAGTCTCTATTTCACACCCTCTCCCTCACTTCCTCCCTTCCTCCATCCCACGATTCCCCTTCCCAGCCAGTAAACCAGTGTTCCTGGGGAGCCCCCATGGGACAGCTCTAAGTTGGCAGGGGGGAGGGAGGAAGGGGGCAGAGCCAAGCTGCTCCTTCAAATTGATCCACAAACTGCAAAGTATTTTCCCACATTTTGCACGGAAAAAGGTCGAAAGATGCTGCGGGGTGGGGGTAGGAGGAGCGGCTGATGCTGGAATTCTGCAGCAGGGTTCTCAGGGACCTTGGGCGGCCTCTGGCTGGCTGCAGGTGACGGGAAGCAGCTGTTCTCTGGGCAACTTTCATCTGCTGCTTCTTCTCCTGTGACGTTTCAAACAAATGCTGTTGTTTGACTTAGTACTAGGCCTCTGCCCAATGAAAAGCTGGGCTGCAGTGCTGAACTAGGGGCAATGAGTTAGGAGGGGTATTGACCAAATGAGGTCTGCACATCCCTCCCTGAGCCAGGCAGGATCCATTGAGGGCCCCACGTAAGTAATAAAGGTATTACCCCACCATCTAGAGAGGTATTCGCTCTCGGGTCAGCTCTGAAGCAGGAGAGCCAAGCAGTATCCCCTGCAATTTGTCCTACTCTGCAGTGGTGATGGGGAGGAGGTGAGAAACTATCCCAAAGCTGCTGTGTCCCTCTAGAAGTGTCCTCCATTTGGGGGTGATGCTCTCCTTAGCACAAGGATTCAGAGCAGACTTCTGTCTAAGCTGTGCCATGTGGGTGCATGTTGGTGGGAAGAGGGGACTTGCATTAACACTCAATGTGCCCGTGAGGCAACATGTGGGAGGTGGGAGCTGAAGGCTTTTCCCTTAGAGTAACTCAAGGACTGGATGGAGATGCCTTATACAAAGCATGTATCACAGTGAGATGGATCCACTGTGAATACTCAAGTCTATGGACTTTAATGCCTGGGCAGCCCTATCAAGGGTGCTGAGTGCTGTTTCTGGGAGTAGCAGGCAGGGCTGGCTCTAGCGTTTTTGCTGCCCCAAGCGCGCGCGCGCACACCAAAAAAAAGAAAAAGCCGCAATCGCAATTGGCGGCAATTCGGCAGCAGGTCCTTCGCTCTGAGAGGGAGTGATGGCCCCGCTGCCGAATAGCAAGCGGACGTGCCGCCCCCCTCTTCATTGGCGCCCCAGGCACCTGCTACGCTGGTGCCTGGAGCCGGCCCTGGTACCAGGGGCTCTTAGTCCCAGAGGCTTTTCTGTCAAGCTGAGGCTAGTGAATAATGGGTGACTGCCCTCAACCTGAAATGACAAGCACGTGCTGGGGTGGGTTTGGTTCCAGCTGGGATGGATTTGGAGTGTAAAGCTCAAGTGGTTGGTCATTCCACAGATGAGCAGTGGCAATAGGAAATGCCTATCCCTGCAGAGAACTTGCATGTTAATACCTATGATGACTGACTTTTGTGGTCCTATTTGACCCATCAGCTGTAGCCATGTGATTGGCACCTCCATCCTACTGACCTGGGCTGGAGAGAACCAATGCTATTAACGTGTCAACTATTCTCAAATCCAGGGATCTGCAGAATGTTTGGATTTCCCCTGTGAAGTCTCTGTGTGTGCATGCAATTAAGGAGTTACAGGTCTCAACCACTGTTGGGCTTTAACTAGGTGGCAAAGGTCTCCAGGTCCTGGGGCTCTGAGCTCCCATTTGCTGTCCACTATCTAGAAAGGACCAAAGGAAGGAATATTTCCTGGTTCTGGTTTCGTGGTCAAGGTCTCTAACCTAGAGTTCTTGCCTGGCTGAAATGAGCTCTCTGGGCCTATCAGAAGGTGATGGCTAAAACATTAGGGGAACACTGTGCCATTCTGGCTGCTGTTTAGACACTGAAATGACACCTGTCCAGTACTAGGTGATAGTCCTAGCCAATTGAAGTAGCCCTAGGGAGACCAGGAAGGATGTGTTGGAGGCCTGGAGACCTGAGCAGCCAAGGCAGGTCACAGCTCCACTGAATAGAGAGAAAATTCACCTGTGCTTCCTGCTTTCTCTACTTCTCCTTACAGCAAATGGGAAAGACAAAAGTCTGAGTGCTTCAGAGCTAAGGCTGTGTGGAGATGGCATTGTGGGGCTGAGGTGAGGGAAGGTTGAGTCTCTATATAGTGTATGGTATGTTGCTCTCCAGGTGTGGCTTTTTTTGTACAGAGGATGGTGAAGAGTAGACTTGTAGGTGGCCTCCCCTTGACTGCTTTAGCCATCTAGCTTCATCTCTGAACCAAGTAAGCTGAGCAAGTGCCTGCTGCTTTCACTTTGGAGTCCATGATTCCAGTGTGGATGGGGCTCCTAGCCTCAGTCAAACAGACTTGCTATCCATGTTGCAGGACCATAACTTCAGCCTTATTGGAAGCCTCCGCCATGTGCAGGCCTATGCAACATAGACCCTATGAGGACGGGGGACTGAAATGTGTGGGGAGTAGAGGAGGAGTTTCCACTGCGCTGCGCAGTTCTCTGCCCTACCCTCCTCTTAACATATACACGAGTGAGGCACAAAGTCCCCTTGAACAAAACCCCAAAGTTTAAAATCAACCCTCAGACTTGCTGGTCTGTTGGACTGAGGTCACGTTCTGCCTATCTTGACACACCACACTGTCATCCCAAGATAGCACTGAGCTGAGCCCTGTAATTATCCTGCTAAGGGAAATACAATGTGAGGCCATAATTGCCACTTTCCAGTAGGCTTGGCGTGGTGTGTCACTGAAGTGAGTTTATTTTCAGTGCTGGGTAGCGAGGCTGACACTTTTCCCTCTGACAGAAGCCCTGGCTAGAATCCTGTAGGGGATAGGGTTGTAGGACACACCATTGCTTAATCCATTGCAGTTCACTGATCACTGCAGTTCCCACCCACAGACAGAGTAAGAAAGATGTTGCACTTGAGCTAGTGGAGGGAGCAACCCTACTAGCTGTGTTCAGTGAATTGGCGTAGACATGGAGTGGATCTGAAATTCTGTCAGGGGACAGCAATGCAGCCATAGGACAACCTGTCTCTTTCCTTTCTCCTCTCTTCCCCACTCCTCTGTTTTTCTACAGCAGCTTCCTGCAAGCACAAGATTTGCAGACTAGAGCAAAAGGCAGACTGAACAGAGGCTGTGGATGGTCCCAGTGCCTCATAACAAATAGCCTCCCAGGAACACAACTTAGAAGTAGTTCTGGTTTTTGTCAGCAACAGCAGAACATAGGTGACACCCCAAGATCACTGATCCATAAGAAAGTGCCATATGAATATTTTTGAGAAACTGTGGGTTAAGCAGGAGACAATATCTCTATCTGTAAATTCACCCATCCCTAGGAATGCCATGTTAGCTACATCCCTCTCTATCTTGCGTTTTAGCTGACTCCCTGGCTTGATCTGCTGTCCCAACCCTGCCTGGGATACTGCAGTGTGCTCAGGCCCACTGGAAGACGGCCAATGTGGCATTTTTCCAGTATTGGGCTAAACAGAGTCCAGTTTAAGATTAAGGGTGGGCACTAATGCACACTACAAGATCCAGTCCTCCTGCCCCTTACAATGTATAGCCTTTGCAAGCTTTCCACCACTGAGGTGCAGTTTCTTTCACTCTCTCCCTTGTCTGCATGTAACTTATTTGCCACTTAATTCTGCTTTAAGTTGGTTGGTGAGTTTCTTATCCTTCTTGGTCATCTGCCACCAGCACAGCTACCAAGCACCCCTCCCAGCCATGCATTGCTGTCCCCTAAGCAAGGAAATGGAAAGCCGATTCTTGTGGGGTGTGATTACACTCCAGTTCCATGGACACCACCTGGTATGAGGCACAGAGGTGCAAGTCTGTTTGTGGCATTGGCGAGGACTGTAAAGTTACAACAGTCTTCAAAACCTATGGGAAGCAGAATTTCAGGAGCTAGCTTCTCATTTCCCTTGTTTCTACAAACGTCCGTGAAAGTGCTCCAGCTGGCCCATAATCTGCATCTTCCTTTCTTGGCTCATCTAGCCTTCTCTGTCCCATCCTGCAGTCTTGTCACTGTTTGGTTCAAGAGCCTTCTCAGCAGCTCCTGCCATCTGGAACCGCCTCTCTATTTTTGCCCTGAGTCTCGCGCTTCAGATCACAGCTGCAAACCTCTGTTCTGAGTGTGCCTTTTGCAGTTAAACAAATGAATGAGAGCCTGATCTGTGTGCTGCTTTAAAGGTATAGGAACTCTGCCCTCCATTTGTGCAGTGGGCTGTGATGCTTAATGGGGTATCTGGGCACTGCAGTACTAGCTGTTGGAATGAACCCAATATAAAAGATACTGTGGTACAAGGCAGGTACCTAAAGTGAGAGTTCTGTCTCAGTATAAGGGCCGGGGAAGTTGTTTGCATGTAACAAAATGTAACCACAATCAATCTGGTGCCCCTTTATCCTCTCATCAGAAACGCCCTGCTCCAGATGAGAAATGTTACTGCTAATCCTCACCCCAGGCAGGCTGTGTGGTAGTTGGGGATGGGCTGCTGCTGCTTCTCTCTGGAACAACCAGCTCTTTCTGGTTTGTGCTATCCCCAGAGTTTGCCAGCTGGTTGATGCCAGTGGAGTGTTATGGGTTTTGGTTGTGGTGTTGTCTGTTCAGTTTCCCTGTCATGTCTTGGCCCCATGCCAGAAGCTCAGCTGTCACCCTCATGCACCATAGCTTGTGGCTTTGTTCCTTGGAGATGAACTTTCTGGTTGTGCATGTTACTTGTAGGAGCCCAAGCTCGACAGCACTGACTTCTGCATTTGATGCTTTGCACTTAGGCTAGAGTCACAAATGAGAGGTCTGGCATGTCCTCTAGACCTAGCTGATGCTCCCTTGAAGGGTCCCTATTGTAAGGCACCCCACAGGACTAGGTAGCTGGTTCCCCATCCCTGTGAAAGCACAGCCCTGGGTCAAGCAACAAGGCTTTCTCTGTCCAAAAGCTCCTATAATGCCTACCTGTGTGTGACACATACCTGCCTCTTGCTGCTCTTTCTGGACAGCATTGCTCTGTACTTGTATAGCTTGTGCCTTAAGACTCACTCCAAGCCTTTCAGGGCAGAGAGCCTTTTGACTGTCTATCCCAGCTCTCCTCCCCTGCAGCACCAGGTAGAACTAAAGCACTACATGAATAATCTCCAACCAGCAGAACCTAGAGCCTGTGTGCTGCTAGCTGGGACTACTTCCGGGAGTGACTGTTTTATCTTGCTTGCTTGCTCTTGGGGAAGGGTGTGTGATGGGAGGAAGGGTGGGAACAGTGGGACACTTGCTGTTTAGCTCTTAGCCACCAGTCCCCCACTCCCTGTTTTGTTCTGTTTGTTTTTAATTAGTGACTTTCACTCTTCTTGCTCTTTCAGATCCTGGGTGCTGTGATCCTGGGCTTTGGAGTGTGGATCTTAGTCGACAAAAGCAGTTTCATTTCAGTTCTGCGTAAGGCCATGATTCATTCTCCTCCCTTTTTATCTTCTGGTTTATATCCTGTGGGAGATCTGTCCCTCTGTGTGTTTAGCTCTTTAAATACAAAGGCATGGGAGGGACTTCTACAGCATAGCAGCACAGTCAAGGAACATAGTCCTAAGCAAAGACTGGCTTCTGGCTGGCTTTTAGAAGAACATCAATAGTTAATGATCTTGTTTAGAGGGGCTGTTGGATCAGCCCAGGGATGGTAACCTTAAAGTGTGCCCCATTCAGAGAAAATACTTCTAAATAAAAGCTCTTGAGAAATCCTAGAACTCTTCCCAGACATAAGCTCCAGGTAAATACATTACAAGCCACGTGGCTGGACCATTGCTACTTGCTGGGCCCCCAGTTCAAATGTGTTCTTACTTTATCTAGTTACTTTCAGTGTGCCCAGAGCTGTGCAGTGAGACTGCTTCTGCCCGAATATTTAATCCACAGAGGATATGGGTCTTGGGAGATAGCAAAAGGAGCAGCTGATTCTCAAGCTGTTTGCTGAAATGCAATGGATTATGCATGCATACATTTTGGATGTTAACTTGGACCTGTATACTTAATTGGAGCTTTTTCCTTTCGCTGTTCTTAAACCCACATTCTAGTCTGACGTCCGCAGCCCCCTGCATGTGTAGTAGTAATCTCCTCACTCACAAATACCCAGTCAGGAAAGGTGACTTGGGCCTGTTCAGTGGGGTCAAGGCATTCTGTGCCAGCCAAAAAATTGAACTAGCTTTAACTGAACCTGGACTGTGGTGGGATTTAAAGGGCTTTTGGTTAGTTGGGTAATTGTCACCCACAACAGAAGTCACATGTTTGTGGCTTTCTTGTATTTAAAGTATTGGGTATTTTTATTTCATAAGTGCTTCCCACATCTCCAGAATTGTGGATCGAGGCTGTTGTGTGAGCCTAGCCTTGCACGCAACCTACAGTGGTTCAGCTTTATTCCAGGGAGTGAGGAGTAGCAGTAGCTGCCATTGAGTCTATTGCTC